GTTTGTCACATAAATTGAAACGTTATCATGTATCAGTACTGTATGATATGTTTCACATTAATCAAGACAATTGTGGATATAAGAAATTAGTATATGTATATACAAATTTAGATTAATGTGACATGATCTAGGTGCATATTTACTAAATTCTAATGTTAGAAACTTTGTTATTGCTTCACCCAATTGCAGAAAGCGGGCTCCACTCCTCAACGTCTGCTCTCCTTTAATTTACCCTATAAAACCACCTCCTCTCTTCACACACCAAAAACTCCATCAAATTTCCAAAGCTTTGTTTCTCTTCACCTACCTTTCTTCTCAACAAGTAAGGAAAAAAAAACCCTAACTTTCTGCCCAAGTCAACTCCAAAATGCAGCCTCAAACAGACGTTTTCAACCTCCACAACTACCTAAACTCCTCGATTCCATCTCCGTATCCTTCCCATTTTCCGATATCCTCTTCATTTCCAATCAACGGTCAAAACCCGAACCCCTTCTACGGATTTCAAAGCGCTACAAACAATCCACAATCCATGAGCCTAAGCAGCAACAACTCGACATCCGACGAAGCAGAAGAGCAGCAGACGGACAAGAGCATAATCAACGATCGGAAGCAGAGAAGGATGATATCAAACAGGGAATCCGCAAGGAGATCTCGTATGAGGAAGCAGCGACACCTTGACGAGCTTTGGTCTCAGGTTATGTGGTTGAGGATTGAGAATCATCAGTTGCTTGATAAGCTTAACAATATCTCTGAGACTCACGAGAAGGTTCTTCAAGAGAATGCTCAGCTTAAAGAGGAAACATCTGAGCTTAAGCAAGTGATCAGCGATATGCAAATCCAAAGCCCTTTCTCTTGCTTCAGAGACAATATAATCCCCATCGAATAAAGCATTTTTTACCCAATGTTCCGCGGTTCATATATGGAACTTTTTAGTCGGTCTAGTATGTATTTACGTGTGTATATATCCTGAGATTTTTGTTTTTGTTTTTTGTTTTTCATGTCGGGGATTAGAGCAAGTTAATTAGTATCTTCCTCAGCGGTGAGACTCGAAACAGCTTTTCCTCTGGGGAAAACGACGCCATTTTATATTGCAATAATATTATGAACTAAACGAAGATTAGTGTTAGAACAAATATAAGTGGTGTTGGTCCAATCATGAGTCATGTTGGTGATGGGGACAGAGTAAGGTGCTAAGGGTTTTGTTTCTTACTACAACAATTTCCAAATTTCCAACTACGAACCAACACAGATATGTATGCTGACATCAATTACATGTTGTTGTCATCTTTTGGAAAAAGCAAAAACAAAATAAGAGCGGATGGTTTGTGGATCCATGATGATTTCTTTTGTGAAACTTTCTAAATTTGATTATATTAGGCAAAGACCAAGGACAAGCTTATCTGTAACTGTTAGTCTCTAGGCCTACCAAGAATAGTATCTATGGACTATGGTGTTGCATCGACTTTAGAAAAATATTTTAATCTTTATGAAAATATTTCTTTCAGGACACAGAAATTGTAAACACTTTTGATGGTTTGGTCATTTTACTGATGCTATATGTTTTTGTGGTAACATTGTCTACTGGTTATACAGAGATTCAAATTAGAAAAAAAATTCAGTTAGAGGATTGAAAAAAATCTTACATTAGTTGAAAGTTTTATTCAAAAACAATTTGTTGATATAGTTTCAACTACAGGTTTGCTAAAGAAAAAACTAAAGTGGTTACTTTTTTCAAAAAGATAAAACACAGCTTATAAGTGTGGAACGTCATTTTCCGATTTAGTTGCAATTTTTTTTATTCGTGTGTTAGTCAACCAAATATAAGATGGCAACAATTAGTATGAATGTTTAAAATGAGTGAGACATTTTAGTTAGTTTTATGCAAGAAAATACTTCTAAAAAAAAAACTAAAACGTTGAAATGGATGAAACACATAGCTTAAATCGGTGAATACATCTAATTTAGTGGTTTGTGTTATATACAAAAAAACTTGAACGTTGCTACATGTTGATACCATTGTTTCTGCATTTACTCTGTTCACGTACATTTCACTTCAAATGTACTCTTTGATATATACACTTGTTGTATACTACAATAGGGTACATCAAAATCTACAAGCGACGGCTATAAAACGGTTTTTAAAAAGTTTGGTCAAGAACTGGATATGATTTTCATATATCTCAAAGTAAACCTAAACCTATCATGCCCTCTCCAACATCTTTCATTGACACAGACAGATAGACAAAGAAACAATCTTACGTATACGAGATCCTCTTACGAAATATGGTCAACAAAACAAACGGACTTTTTCTTTATTTTTATTTTTATTTTTGTATTGTCCGTGTCGTGACTCGTGAGATTCCTTGCCATAACCTTACTAGCCAAGAAACCTGTAATCGCATAAAACATGCCCTTTGATATTTTTTATTTTTAAAAAATTCAATCAATCTCTCAACTTCTTTTTCCTCTCTTCGTGGGATCGAGAACGCAGAACGTATTGTAAGTGGAAGACTAAAAGAGACAATAAAGAAAGATATAGAGTAACCTTTAACTTCTTCTTTTTTCTTTGTTGTCATTCATGAAGACGTATATAACTTAAGTTCATAATCACTCTACATCAGAACCAATCTTTGGTAATACCGATATATTTAAACCAAGTAAACCGTCCATCCTTCCACGTTGTAGTCTACTCGAATCCGGGGCCAAGAACTCAAAAACAACCCGAGACTACGTAGCTATCGATGTTATCCTTAGAGAAGGACAACAATGTTGGAAGAAAAAATAAAGAAAAGACACCATAGAGTCATCTTCATTTGGTAGTTAATCATGCCATCAACGAGTGATTAGGTAAATAAGTTGCACTGTAAATTGTAGCAACTGGTTATTAGTTGGAAATTTTTGCCCATCTTTTAGCTGTATATATAGTCGCTGAATTCTATTGGTGCCGAAACCTGTGTTTAAACCAGTGATTACGAAAAAAAGAAATTACGATCGATGTTTCTTGGTCATTGGCTACTTAAAAACGAACAAAACATATCACTAATTGCTTATGTTAGTTGCTGATCTTTGGCGCCAAGAAATGCGAAACGAAAGCCTTGATTAGTCTCAGTACAAACTACATACATGGGCGAACACAAAATATATGATTAGATTCTTTTTGAGGGTAGGTCATAAGTCATAACAGCACTTTGGTCCTAAAATATCTAAGAATCTTTGGTTCCTTTCATCTTCCAACAACAGTGGAGTTTCTTTTCTCGCTTTTAGTTTGTTTTTTTCTTTCGCTTTGCGTATTGTTTTCAAGAATCATCTCAATCTTTGTCTGTTATCTTTCTATAAATGTGTGTGTACAAAGTACGAGTGTATCTGAGACCAGAAGATTGGTTCTTTCCTTTCTTTCTTTATCGTTTCGTACGACAATTGGTTTTTCTTTCTTTGGAATTTTTTTTTATTTTTTAAACAAAGCGTTTATCTTTTGTTTTTCCGTCATAACATGTGAATATTAGAGAGTACTTTATGATCTATTTCGAACAGTAAATTCGATTATATGTAGAAGAGAATAAGCCACCTCTTTCTCTTCTTCCTTTTCTTTTTGTAGCCACATCTCCTTCTAATCCTAGCTTTACTAGATAATCATTAGTCAACTGACAATAATAACGATCGAAAAATATAAAAATTTAGTTAAACGGAATTTTTGTGGTGGTTCAAGTAAGGGTAATTCCGCCAGATTGTGCCCAATTTTTTTTTTTTTTTTGGAAAACCAGAGATCGATGCGTATACTTGAGTCTTGAAGTTGAATTTACTAATATAAAGCATTTGAGAGCTATGGAACAAACTCTGTTTGAAATGTTTTAAAACCAGAGATCGATGCGTATACAAGAGACCAACAAAAGTAAGATAGAAAACTTTGAAGTCCGACCCAATAATAGAAGGCCCATGGGCTAATAGATAGTTGGGCCCCCAAAAACCCGTGACATTCCGCTTCCTTATAAGGTTTTTAGGGGATAGATAGAAGGCCCATAGGCTATTTTTTTCCAAACCTTTGGTTTTGATTCTTTCTTAATCAAACGAAATGAATAATATTCAAATCTTGAGTAGATACATTGGCATTATTTGTAGCAGATAAGCAAAACCCCCAATTTTTTTTTGTGAAATTTCAAAACCAAAACTAAATATTTATTTTTTACGGAAGAGCTCCCATGTTGGCTTGTTGCTGTCATGTGTCTGCGGTGGATCCATTTCCCTCTTTACAGCAAAAACAAACAAACCAACAAAACATTTTCATCATAAATTTTTAAGACAATTGGATCAGACACACATAGAAAGCCACAATATGATCAATAATGGAGAAGTTGTCTCGAAAGACACGTTTCATCACACATGCCTTTCTTTTCTATACCTATTTTCATTTACTACACCACTTTTGCTTCGTGCCAGCATTTCAATAGTACAGTTTTTGTTATAACCGCAAATTTCCAGACTTATCCATTTATAACCTTTCCAAGTTTATAAAAAAAAAAACCATTTCCAAGCGCAGTGTTGTCTTTGAACTCGAACGTTATAATAAGGCTACAAGTCTTTTTTAATTGGATTATGTACGGAATCTGTTTGAAATGTTTACATTTCAATGTTCATCTTATCCTTCTTTATTCCTTGAATCTCTTTGCCCATGAAGAGAACATGTGTCGTAAGAAACTGACATCCAACGTAATTAACTTAAATCTAGTTTTAATGTAAATATACTTTTGGTATATGTATAAACCATCACCGAAAGATACATGTAGCTAAGACTATCGTGGGAGAAATAATAATATTCATGTTAGTTTATGTAAAAAAGAAATAATAATCAAGAGAAGCATGCATAAAGAGAATACAAATATCAAAACAAAAATAATTTAAAATAATCAAACACCCTTTGCTTGAGGCATTAAAAACCCCCAACACACAAAAAGGAAACTAATAATCCAATCCCCAATATATATAAACAGTTTCAAGAAAATAAATTACTTCTTTTTATAAGACCTACTCTTGCTTTCACCCTTTTTCTTCTCTTTTGTCCTACATTTATGATTACCACTATTCTTATCATCATGTTTATGATCATAAACATCATTACTCGTACTATTACTTTCACTTTTTCCGTTCCTTAAAACGAGACCTTCTCTCCGTCTACCTCTATTGCTCGTTTGGTGATAGCTTGGCCCGGAAGAAGCGTCAGAAGCCATTGAATCGTCGCTGTCTTTGCTGTTTTCGTATTCATTTACATAGTTTCTTCGATCTTTTTCGATGCCATGCCCTTCATTATAGACCTCATCGATTACCTCTTCCTCGTCTTCCTCCATAGGCGAAGAAATATACGTGGTCCAACCGGATTCGCTGCTGCTGCATTCTTCTCTCTCCATGGACAACTCAAGAACCCTATATAGTTTCGAATGAGAGAGAGAGAGGGAGGGATAGACAGAGTGAGAAGAGAGAAAGAGAGAGAGAGAGAGAATTGTTGGTTTTGTTTAGTCGTAATATTGTGCTTGTGTAGTGGACCATATATATATAAATATGTAACTGCATGTGCGTGGAAGAAGACCCGTGTGTTTTCATTAGTTTAATGTGCAAACGACAGCTTATGTCTAACGTATAAAGTTACATCCGACATGATTCGAAGAAGAATAGCTGTTTTTTTTATGAAAAAGGTTTTGTCTTTTTATAACTTATGATTTATGTGTAGTCTTAGTCTTCTCCTAATAGTGTGAGCATGTTGAATAATAAATGCTAATTAACATTAATTAATAGGGTTTTGGTTAATTAGAGAGAGCGAAGTGGTTTAAGTTCACATTGTGGCATGAGGGGAGTGTATCTTTACATTAAGAATTCTCTGTAACGAAACCAAACACGCATGGGATCTATGTGGAGATTGGATGTTTGATTCAAATCAACGAAGCCATGTTATAGAACATGTTAGGATCATGCCTCCTTTCCATTATCCTCTTCCTTTTCCCATCAGATTCGTGTTGTACTAACCAATTATAGATAAATTTGCAACTTTGTAATATAAATTATTTTATATCATAACAAAAAAATTAGTGTCTGTTTTTGTCGTATATTATATAAATTGATTAGTTAGGTTTAGGGCAACGAGGCAATTTCTCACTCTGACTTATATATACTAGATGAGTACTTGCACGATCGATGCACGGATTTTTGTTTTATAATATAGTTTGTTAAAAAGTTTAATTATAATTTATTTTATTGTATATTTAAATTTTATTTAAGAATATTGTGTATTTGAATAATCATGCAATATGTATGTACGTATTATATAGATATTGACTATATATGTGATAAACGGTTTATATTGATCATGAAATGTGAAATATCTTATGCCTTGTATATATTGAATAAATCAAACAGATATATTATAAATTAGAGAAGTACTACATAACAAAAAAAGTAATTAATTGGTCTAATTTTAATTACATCATAATAATAGTTTATTAATTACAAAATTTAAAATTACAGATGTCACTTTCTCTAGTGCTGACGTGACACTTAACTGGAGAGAGTTGACCATCTTTTATATTATAGATTAACTGTTAGTTTTTAACTATTTCATGTAAGAGAGAATTATCTTATAAGAAGGAGAATAATGAGGAGATCTTTGTCGATAAGAGCATCTCCAAGAGAAACTTGAAAACTTCAAATATGAAGTTTATTGCATTCCAAGAGAACTTGAAAACTTCAAATTTGAAGTTTCACCTTTTTATTTGCATTTCAGTCCCTCTAATTATATACTATATGAATGTTTATATTTTAGTTTTGTTGTTTATCACTTTAGTCCATATAATTTTAGTATTTCATATATATGTGTATATATATTTAATTTTTGTATACAGATTAAATAAAAATCTTAAAATAAATTCAAAAGAAATATTACACATTATTATAAATATTTTTTTATTACATAACAACAATTATATATAAAGCAAATTTAATACAAAATACAAGAAAATAAATTACATAAACACATAAATATTACAAAAATTGAAATACTACAATAATACTAATATTCAGATAACTTTGAAATGCATCGATTAATCATATACGAAAGCACTTTGAAAGTAGTTTTATTGAATAATTTGATATTTTATTTGTAATTTATAATTTAGTATGTGTATATTATGTATTTTTATATTATTATGTAATGTTTTATTGATTAGTATTGGTTGTAATCTTTTTTTATATGTATGTTTTAGTTATTTATAAAAAGTTTATGATGTTAATTAATTATTATCAATATTGAGGACTATAATGCAAAATATAAATAGTTTTGAAGTTTTTTTTGAAGTTTATCATTGGAGAGTAAAACCACCTCCAACGGTGAGTTATAAAAAATGGGTTTCTGATCTTTATTTAAATAATATTTTAGTATAATAACATTATTTGATTAAATTTTATTTTGTTTTTAAAAGATAAACAAATTAAATGCTGTCAAGTGGTGAGAGTCCGCTTCTAAAAATTCTAAAAGAGGAAGCGCCTCTCCTCCTTCTCTCTTCCTTTTCAATTTTTTTAATTTTTTAATTGTTTAGAATCTGCATTTGAAACCCTCTGTTAGAGGTGCTCTAATACCTCCAAACTTTAAAGTTTGGGAAATTTCAAATTTGAAATGTCTCTTGGAGATACTCTTAGAGAGTGGAGTTATAGAGGCAGCTGTAAGAACTAAGAATTCTATCTATGCAAATCAAGCGGAATAGACCTCGTATAGGTCTTACAAAACCCTAACTTAGGTCCAAAATATACGCTAGCCCAATAGTCTAAATAAAGTGATAAAAGCCCAATATTCAGGGTTTAGTAAGTAAATTAGCGGGAGGAAACTCACGCCTGAGTTGAAAAAATGTTCAACTGACGTTAGTATAGTAAATAACGCGGCTCATTTGTAGTAAGCGATTAAAGAAAATGTGAAACAACAGATTTATAATAAAAAGAGGCACCTCAAATTAGACGACCATTTGTAACGTGATATGAAACGAAGAGTTACAATTTGGAATATAGTTAAACAGATTAAACAGATGTGACATGGTACTTGCAAGTTGCAACAAACAATTATATATGGACACAAAAACCATGATAAAGAGGCATGGCAAATCAGTTCCTTTAGTTGATTATGAAGAAAAAAATATTTGACTCGAGTTAAAAAAATCCTAATCAGCGCATTTTAATTTAAGTTTTCGTGATTTCTTCATATGTGATGATGCGAAGATGGATTTTGTGAGTGTTTGCATACACTCTCGCACTAATTAATCCTACTTGCAATCAGATCCAAGTGGAGGAGCTATTTTCATTTGCCCAAATAGTACAAAAAGTGAAGTGCACTTCTATATCACCTTTAATTGGTGGTAGACGACAGTAGGCAATATGAACTTGTAGTCGTCATTACTTTATATTTATTCTTATAATAGTAGAATGATTATTTCATCTATTATATATTTTATTTTTTTGTTAAGCTCTATTTTTGTAAGACTGATTTACTCATTCGGGAGTACTTGGAGTTGATGGAAATTGACTAATTTCGATAATTTCAACTTTTGTCAAATGCATAATGATTTGGAGATCAAAATTTTGCTTTTTAATGTTATATATTGTCGGCTTGGCCTATCAAATCGAACTCAAAATGTGTCCCCATCCTCAAAGATCAGTATTTTTGCAACATTTTAAACATGTGGGTCTACAACGCCACTGTTAAGGGCGGTTTCAGTTTTAATAATTTAAATTTTATAATTCCGCACACTCTAACAATTTTATCATCACACATATGTTACATATGATCAGATGTTTATACTGGAGTTTAAAACAAACTTATCGCAATGTATTAGCTAACAGTGAAGAAAACTACACTAGCTAACAGTGAAGAAAACTACACTAAGTGTCCTTAACTAGAGTCATTCGACAACAATATCACTTGATGAGAAAGAAATAATCGACAACCCTTTTGTCGTTTGGTGAAAGTGAAGAAGACAACATCAATCACTCTTCGCATCGTATTGATTATTGAACATGAAGACTACACAAATACATATATTTGCACGACACGATGCACATATATACTAGTACTGTTATGTTGTAATGCATCACTTTTAATAGGTATTTTTGGTTTTCATCAAAAAGGCAAAAACGGTATTGGCGCACACTATAACCATTAGGGGACCAAAAGAAAGTGCCTACTGTCCCAAGACGAAATGGTATATACTAATTATTTGATAAAAAAATTATATCAAACGGAGAAGTTTGTAAAACTAATTGTCGTTTTCTTAATAGTTAATGTTAATCAAAATAACATATATGAAAATTTTGATTTAGACTGATCACTGAGATTTTAATCGGATGAGCTTCAGTCCCTCGTCACGGTGGATAAGCGTAACATTTTTTTCTAGCGGCTTTCCTACTATCATTGACAAAAATTTGTTGACAAGGATAAAAAAAAATAAGATAATAACATTTTGCATGTATAATGTGTTTCAATTTACAAGAATCTCTTCTTCAAAATTTTCTTTACAAGATGAACTGAAGTTATCGGCATGACGACATCGACATGACATATGAACAGTTAAAGTAAAATAATAGTTAACAAAAGAGAAAAGGAATATCTGAACGCACAAGGAATCTTCTTCCTTCATTTTGAGCTTTAAAAAAAAACAAAACAACATCGTAATGTGATCAAATGCACCCCCGTAATTAAAAAAAATAGTTTATTCAGTACAAATCTTCCACTATAAATTCTTCAATACCCATAACTAAAACTTTCACTGCACTTACAACACAAGGAAAACAAAAACAAAAAGAGTAATAAGAAAGAAAAAAAAATGAGGACGACACCAAAAGTAGAAATTTGGAAGTCACCAATACCATATCTCTTTGGTGGTTTGTTTTTGGTTCTTCTGCTTATAGCTTTGGCATTACTCTCATTGGTCTGCACATACAAAAAATCTCCTTCTTCTAGCAATAACGATCCTATCGAGGAAGACGACAGCGCCGGGGACATGGAAGCTAAGACAATTATGGGAGAGTACTTACCTAAGATCGTTGTGATTTTGGCCGGAGATGATAAACCTAGTTGCTTGGCCGTTCCGGTGATTCCTCCGCCGTCTTCCATTTATCGTTGTAATTGCGCCAATGTTGATGTCGTCTCAACCTAACCAGCAACATCTTTTTCTTCTTTTGCCAACGAAAAGAATAAGAGATTTCAACTTTTGAAATAATAATCATCGGCAATTTTGTTATAGTCGATTGTTTTTTGGTGGGCATGTTAGTATTAGATGAAGTTTTGTTTAATGCTTTCTTATGAGTTTAATCT